CGTGACCGCGCCGGCGCTATCGGCGCGGCACGCCCACCGCTGGCTAACCACTCGCCGCCGATCTCTAGCCGTTTAGCAGAGAGAGGGAGAGAGAGCGTTAGCGTTGAAGAGGGCAGCATCGATGAGAGTCGCATCAATGCGGAAATCAACGGGCAAAGAGGAGGCCTATAGCCGTTTCTTACGGTTTTTCTCAATCCCGGCACCACTGACCACGTCTATCTTAACTCTAAAGGGCTGTTTACTACTTATAAACTCCGCCAGCAACTGAAGACGAAAAAACAGCTCTTTTCCAGAGTCGTCAGTGGAATCAAAACGGACACCGCATAGCACAAAGGACACCGTGGAGCACAGCGAAACGAGACGTGCAATTTTATCGGATCCCTACCTTCTCAACCTCCTCATCAAAATGTACTTCTTTGATTATGTTCTTTTTGGTTATCGCATTCCAGATGTTCAACTAGGAATGAGTCAGCTGTAGGGTTCTGTATCGTAGACATGAGATAAAATAAAGTTTTTTATGGATATTTGCAAATTATTCATAAAAGTAAACATAAATGGTTATTAAATAGAGATCATCGGTATAACACGAATCAAGGCACATGGCACGAAAGGAAAGGATATCGTCGACCAACGGCAGTCAAAGATAGCCCTTCTCGCTGTTCATTGAATCGTTCATGATGGTGGACACTGGATTGCTTATAGTGACGACTCGAGCTTGTTGATTTGACGGGGTCCTGAAGAGAAAGTGGGTTAGTCCATGAGTCGATATTCAGGCTCCCATCATATTATGGGACCTTATAAATCGGCTTGATCCTTCCCTCATGACCAGTTAAGACAAGAGATCCAAGCGACTTACCCGACAACCATCGCTGCCTTGGGAAGATGTCGGAAGTGCTGATCTTTGAGTTCTTCGAATTCCTCGAAATTCACGCCAATTCCGCTCACGAAACTCTTGCCAAAGCGCTCTCAGCACATGAACCACCACAATATCACCGGCGTGATTGGCCATCATTCGCAAAATAAACACCTAAAAGACCTACTTATTTTACTCAAGACTTATTTATTTATTTTTTCAAAATTGAGGTCTTGACACATGATTCAATATTTCTCTGTGAAATGAGTTGGAGAGCCATTTCCATTTTGCCTGGCTTCTAGCGATAATGACAACTTATAGCTAGGGATATCAGGTGTAGGCGTCAAAACATATGGTAGAAATATGGGCTACATTTGAATAACTTTGATAACATCGTCGACATCCCATCCAAATTCTAAACATTTTGGCCCATGGAGCTACTCCCTCCCGCCCTGGACCTCACCCTCTCCCTCTTGGCCCTAGCCAAGAATATCCGGTTCTTGGCTAAGGAGCACTTTTCGGGCCACTCCAGGCTTATTCAGTCGGTCGTTGTTACAGCGCTCCTTTGAATGAAAGTTTTATCAAAGTTTTTTTCTGAATATGCAGCGTTCACGGTTGGCGATCGAAAGCGATGATCGCACGTATGATTGCCAACTCTGAATCCTCCATTAGGCCGCATTCTTAGTTCGCGACTCCGGAAATTAAAACAGTACGCGACCATGAAAAAGATATGTATTGACGGGTAGATCGCATGGATACGTCTAATCTTTTCCTACTCTACCAATATCCTGATATCCTGTCGCCTACTATCCTAATCTCCCAAGTCGCGAACTATGAACCTCAGCGTTATCAACGCACTTATTTTGATCCTTGTAGTTAATGCCGCAAAGCAGAATTGTGTCCCCCCTCAACTCCATTTTCACCGATTTCTCCTCGCGTCATGGAGGTTGCGTTCGTAGAAGTTAGGGTTAGCTGCTTAGCGATGGGCGCCCCCTTTACCGCAATACAGGTCCATACTCGCTTTTTTAGGGGCGTGCCGTCCTTTTCTGGTACGCATACCTCCCTTCTTCCACATCCAATGTATCGCAACCTCCTCTTTAGAAAACTTGCTTATACGTGGGTGGGTCTTCGTAAACTACCATAGCCTATTTTAAATCACACTAAAACTTCATTATGATTTCAAGTCGAAATCGAATGCACGGTGTATCCCAGAGAATTGATCTTGGCCACTCAATATTCAATCCTATTCAAGCTATTCAATATTCGTTCGACTACTGATCATGCTATCTGATAATTTCAACTTACCCCATCGGACTTGAGAAACTGAAGAACGAATCGATCAAGCAGATGCGGTGCGAAGGGGATCACCGAGTAGACACGTTCGACGGGATTTCCCTGAAGTAAATCAGCTTCATTGTTTAAAACGTCGAGATTCGCTGCGTATTTTATCACCTTTCTTATCACCTTTCACTTAGCAGCGGGTTATGCATGAAAAGAGTCCGTAAAAACGAGAAAAAAAAAGAAATTGCGAAATTGGTTGGTGACCTTGAAAAATTTCAGTCGCTTTCTTCATGTCACTCGACTGCGCTATTTGCATGAATTTGAGCACGTAGTCGATTTTTTCGGACGGTACGAAGACTGTTTATCATCCAGCACAGTGTCGAAATGCTGCAATATTGATAGTTTTGGGAATGTTCTGGTGGTTAGAAATTAAAAATAAAGTCGTAATGAATCAAGAAGGTTACGTTGTAATGATGACCAACAGCAGATACCAGCACCATAGAAAAGCAAATACTTTCTCGTTGATAATGTTTATGAGCAGAGCACATTGGACAGTATACCTGAAAGGAAAGATTATGAAGTTTCTCCTTAAAGTACGATTTCATGATAAGGTCAAAGGTCGAAGAAGTGGAACTGAACCAGTGGAAAGACAGGCGGACTATTTATGGATGCAGACCAACATACAGTTCGCCAGCGAAGGATGTTCCACCGGCGACCTGGCATGGCCCTCCCCGCGGCGCTGTTGACGTGGTACGCCCACCGAACTGACTGCCCGCCGTTGCTCTCTAGCCGTTTGCCACAGAGAGCGTTAGCGTTGAAGAGGTCAGCACAGACGAAGAGTCGCGTCAATGCGCAAACCAGCGGGTTAGAATGGCCCCATTTCTCTGCTTGGACCATTTTTCATGGGTCTTTTCCTTCATCCCAGAACCAGTGATACATCTTACCTTAAGTCTAATGGGCTTTCAAGCCACAACCCAGTCGTGTGAACGACTTCCTTCGGTATATAGGATAGAGCAAAGCAGCACCAGAGGATAATCACAGATGTGGCATTCCCGTGCACGAAAACCAACCGACAAGAGCGCTTGGCCTTGCAAAGTAAGCTGCTGCAAGCTGCAGAGCTTTTTCTCTTATCAGTTGTCTGGCGCCCTCTCATCTGTAGCGCTCTCTCGCCTCATACTCTCCTCTCCGCGCTTAGTCTCTCATTGCCTTAGCACAGCCGATTACGAAGGTGAATGAGCCCTCATTAGCCCGACTTGGATACCGCGTGGGAAATTGTAAGGTCCCTACCTAGATCACTCCAGCTTCGCCGCAAAAGTTGCGCGGTTAGGGCGCTAATCCTTACGGGCCTGCAACCATCGACCCCCGTTGCAACGCTTCCCACCCACCTCGATATCGGCGTGATCTCTCGCGTGTTTTGTCTTTTTGACCGCCCTGCCTCGCCATCGTTCCACATCCGACCTTTTTGAAGGTTAAGGCCTTAATTTCAGCGATCCAAAGATTTCTCTAGCTTTCCTTTCCACTTTCAGGCCGTCCCGCAGCTCAGTCATCACTACGAAGCGCTCTTATCACCAGTTTTATCCCGGGGCTTGCCTTTAAGTTGTGCGTTTAAGACGGATTCTTTTCGTTTTTTCTTTACTGCTGGCCCACTTCGCACCATACATTCACATTCGTGTGCAAGAGCCACACCAATGCGATCCTGGTGGCATGCCTTAACTCAGAAACTCCACTTTCAAGGCAGCAGAGTCATTGAACTTATTACCTGAGAGAATTAAGCCGAAATGCATCCAAAGAATGGCACGGAAATTAAGGCATTCATTGAGAAATTTCTCACCTATTGAGATTTGCCAGATATCTGACTTCGAAGTCGCATAAGGTGACACGAGGAAAATGACCGGATTCTGTCCAAGGTTTACCATTCATTAGATCTTGTAGGACTAATGCGAATCCCAATTTCTCATATCTGAGTTATGGCACCAATAGAGAAATAAGGCTACCTGGAATCCAAAAAATAGATACTCGTCGGATTTGAGGCACGCATTCAGAATCATAAATTGGACAACAATGTTGAGCGTATAGAAGAGTTTCGTGAATAGATAGAGCGTTGAGACGTAGTGGCCGGACGGAGAAGCCTGAAAACAGTTTCTCATAATCCTCTATTCTGGGTTGTTTAGGAACACAGGCAGGGATAGCTAGAGTGTAAGAGTTAAACTCAGTCTGCACCGCTGAAGACCGCATCGAGTTGTTCTGCTCAGGTATATCGAATACTTGCAAAATTTGCAAAAATTACAGTTCTCGATACCATGCGTCTGAGGCACGCGCGATGAATTCAGCTCACGGTCACAACCAAACCAGTCTAAAAGTCGTAAAAAGTATCAGTGTAATGCAGTATGATCGTTTCCCTGAAACGTAGTGTATCAGAACCGCACACTGCCGGAGTTTGTGTGGGCGGGAGCAAAAACAGCTGCATCCAAATTTTGTAAATTTGCGGTGATATTTCCGTATTAGATCGGTGTACTATATGTGTGCCAGGCCTAACATGCCCGACATTCAGAAGATAACCTCCACTTTCTTTACTTTTTCTCTTGGTAAGAGTAGTTGGAAAAACCTGGGAGGATAACGTGTATAAACATAAATCCCACCTTTTGCACTTCAATCGCCCCATCATGCTTCGCAAAGGCAATTCACCATTCGGCGCTTGCAGATCCAGATTGTCAACGAAGCACGATGCAAGCGCGTCGATCGCCTAAAAGCCCAACAAAGAAGATCACTCCCAAAAAAGATGAAACGAGGGTTTTCTCGTATCAATAAAATCGGATAGTACGAAAAAATGGTTGCCCATTGCCAGAAGTAGAGCCGAAGTGTCTGTCGTGGAAAATTATTACCTTCTGACGCTCCGACGGATCGACTACAGCTTGTGTGTCGCACGCGGCGTTTATGAGGTGCTGAATATTCAGTCCTGAAAAGAGACAGCAAATGTATCGTGATCGAAATCGCAGAGAGACGATTGTGCTCCGGTCAGGTCCTCGAATACCCGAAGGACGGAAATGTGGGTGCTGGCCGAGTTCCGAGTTGTGGCACAGCGGCAAAAGTAGCATAGAAAACGTAATCGGGTACGGCATGTCTACCATAAACCGCAGCAATCAAGGGTCATCGCCGTCACGTGCGCGAAGTCCAGGTTTCTGACGCCCATAATATCCAAGTGGCCTACTGCATCAGCACTCCAACGACCTGCAGCAAGGTTTTGAAGTATCCCGATCAGGGATAGTCTCCCAAATTCATGCTGCTTACTCCGGTTGAAGGCGTCTCACTCATGACCACGAACGGGAGATGCGTCCAGAGATAAACAATATTGGGGACCGATCCCGGCCGGGCACTGTTGCACCCGGTCCAGAAAATTTTTCTGGTTGCCACATCCCTGCCACAAGTTTACCACTCAAAAAGAATGCCCTAACCTCGATGTTTTCAGCAATTCCTTCCCACATTTCCTTCACTGCACGTCAACTTAACACCTCCAGCGGCATTTTGGAGAGCAATAAGCTCACGAGGCCTTCGCGGATTGTGCCTTCGAAGGCAAGGGCTCGATCAGTTTAATGGACGTTATCGCAATATACGGGGGCATCCTCTAGGACTGAGCCCAGAGGATGGGGCAGAAATTCTGAGGGAGAATGAAAATGGCTGACCAACCCTGGATTCTCTCCTCCCCTCCCTCCACAGCTTTGGTCTTTTTTTTTGAGTGAGAGGACATGTCTTACCGATCTTGAATTCATTGCCACCACAGTGTACTTTTCTGCGACAGCGCCGCTTTAAGTTCGAAGGAAAAACTCTTCTGCTATATATAGAGGAAGGCGAAGGTATGAAACAAACTGTAAGTGAACTTACCGGATTGCCACGATAGAAGACGCCAAAAAATGCATGGCAAGGAGAACATAAGGGCTTCAGCGATCAGTATGAACGGCACCCATTGATAGTAACCGATTTGTTTCTCTATAAGTCAAGGTTTTGATTTATAACTCACATCAGTTTATTTTGATATTTTGAACAGGAAGCGGGGCTTAATGGCACGGGACTCAATGAAAGCATCGACATTCACACTTGACCTCAACGGGATCGATAGTTGTAGCCGACACTATGAGAAACACTGTTAAGTCCGGGTGTCCGACAGGAGGCCCGTAATGCGGCGAGAAGGCAGAGACCGGAGTGGACGAGTCGCAGTGTGTACTGCTGTGATTTCCCGTCGCTAAGTAGACTGCATTACAAAGCCTCCCACACACACAGCAAGCGCCGCTACTCGTCCGCTGACCCGTCTGCGTCTCTGCCTTCTCGCCGCGCGACGGCCGTCCTGTCGGGTACCCTTTAATTCTGGTCCCCGGCAAAATTTCAAAACTGCGTTAACGGGGGTACTTCACTTCCCAATTCTTCACGTTTTCTACAGATCTCTCTTAATTACAGAAACTCCAAAGACCCATGAAACGACCCACTTCCAAATACTAGCTCCTCTTCAAAATCACTGAATACGACCCTTTTCCAACATTCAAGATGACCCCCCCCTCCCTCGTGTGACTCGGCCAGATGAACGGTTGACTCGGATTGGGCCAATTAATACTGTAGCTCATAGGAGCGGACCGTTGCAGTAATCAATGCTTCATCCTTAACCTCACACTAGTAGATCGACCCAGGGTAATAAAAGGTTTCTTGGGCTCAAGAAGGATTTGATCCGGAATTCGAAAGACCATAGACTATGCGCGCGCTCTCGGCGCCACAAGCTACTGTCCTAATGCCCTTTTATGAAATATTTTTGATATGTTGCTATTTATTGGTGTGTTCTAATAGAACCATTATATTGATAAAACCAACCTTCTCGAGCCGTGTGATCGTCCGGAATATTCTCGTACATCGGTACCCAGTAGGTGTTTTGTATCCAGCAATAACTTTCAATGTATTCTTCCATGCTTTCCCTTGAATGTGGATTCACCCAGCACTCAATCGGCGTGCCGCCATACTGAAATTATTCAAATTTTTACCAGCACAAATTCTTTCGAAGATGTCCTGTTAGCGGGAGTGTCTATAGAGGTGGAATGTAACTGTAACTAGTTGAGTGACACAGTCGGCGCTGAGGTATCCTTTATCTTGAATAGGCGAGGAGTACTGTCAGATCCGTGATCTGCACCAGTAATTAACCCTGTTGAAAAGGTCTCACCTAAG